TCTATTTCTCCCTTTAGGTCTTTAATATATGCTTTTTACATTTAGGTGCTACTATGTTGGGTGTACAAATATTATGTCCCCTAGTTGGATTGACCTCTTTATCATTTTGGAATGCCCTTCTTTGTCTCTCATAATATTCTTTGTTTTAAAGTCTATTTTGCCTGATATAAGTATAGCTACCCCTGCTTTTGTTGTTGTTTTCATTTGCATGGAATATCTTTTTCCACTGATTCATTTTCAGTCTGTGTGTGTCTATAAATCTGAAGTGAGTCTCTTGTAGACAGTATATAGATGGGTCTTGTTTTTCTTAATCAATTCGTCCACTCCATGTCTTTGATTGGAGAATTTAGTTCATTTACACTTAAAGTAATTATTGATAAGTAGGAACTTATGGCCACTTGTTCATTGTTTTCTGGTTGTTCTGTAGTTCCTCTCTGTTCTCATCTTCTCTTCCTCTCCTCCTTTGTGGTTTGATGACTTTCTTTACTGGTAGACTTAAATTCCTTTATCTTTCATATATCTACTACAAAATTTTGCCTTGTGTTACCATGAGGCTTACATATAACAACTTATATCTGTAGGAGTCTTAAGTCAATAACAGTTTAAGACTGATCTCATTTTAAAGCTCTACATTTTTACTCTATTCCAACCAACCAACTTCTATGTTTTTGATATTACATTTATATTTTTTATCTTGTGTTACTTAATTATTGTAATCAGTTATTTTTACTTTTGTCTTTTAACCTTCATACTAGCTTTAAAATTGATTAACCCTTTTCTGTATTTATCTTTCCAGTGAGATTCATTCTTTCATATATTTTCTTGTTACTAATTAATACAGTTTCTTTTCAGCTTAAAGAAGTCCCACTAACATTTTTATAAGACCAGTTTAGTGGTGATACACTCCTTTAGTTTTTGCTTCTCTGGAAAACTCTTTATCTCTCCTTTAATTCTGAATGATAACACTGTCAGGTAGAGTATTCTTTGTTGGAAGTTTTTTTTTTTTTCTTTTCTTTCAGCACTGTGAAAGAGTGCCATTCCCTTCTGGCCTACAAAATTTCTGCTGTAAAATCTGCTGATAATCTTATGAGGATTCTCTTGTATGTAGCAAGTTGGCTTTCTCTTACTGCTTTTAAGACTCTCTCCTTATCTTTAAGCTTTGACATTTTAAGAAAATGTGTCTTGGTGTGGATCTCTTTGGGTTCCTCTTATTTGGAACTCTCTAGCCTTCTTGTATCTGATTGCTGTTTTCTTCCTCAATTTAGGGAACTTTTCAGCTATTGTTTCCTCAAACAATTTTTCTGCCCCTTTCTCTCTTCTCCTTCTGGGAGCCCTATAATGTGAATGTTACCCTATTTGATGGTTTCCTAAGTCCTTAAACTATCTTTTTCATTTTTTTCCCCTCATGCTGCTCTGATAGGGAGAATTCCACTGCCTTGTCTTCAGGTTAGCTGATTATTTCTTCTACTTTATTTAGTCTCTTGCTGAACCCTCTAGTGTACTTTTCAGTTGTTATTATATTCTTCAGCTCTGTGACTTCTGTTTGATACCTTATGTTTTCCAACTCTTTGTTGAAGTTCTGTGTTCATTTATTTTATTCCCCTGTTTGTTGAGCATCTTCATAATCATTACTTTTAACCCTTTATCACATAAATTACTTATCTCCATTTTATTAAGCCTTTTTTCCCCCTGAGCTCTTATCTTGTAATTTTGTTTGGAACATATTCCTCTGTTCCTTTGTTTTCTTGACTCCCTATGTGCAGTAGATAAAACCACCACTTCTCTCAGTCCTAAAGGAATGGCCTTGTGTAGCAGATGAAAGTTGTTCAACCCTGCCTTAGCCTTTGGTTTCCTCTCAAACCTTTGTGATTGTCCAAGCACCTATTATATTGTTAATAGCTCCCAGTAGTTGAGGGTGTGCCAAGACCTGTCCATGTCCCAGGGGGAGGTTCTCACTACCTAGATTCAGGCTGATAGGAAGCCAGATCCTCAGGCAGCAGCTTTTAATACTATGGAAATATATGGAGTCCTGTGGGACTCCAAGTGTAAACCCTGTTGGCTCCCAGAGCCAGGAAATCTGGAGGTATCCCTGGGTGGCAAAAAAGCTGTGGCTCCAGACAAGTGTATAAGCTGTTTTTTGGGAGATACCAGCCAGCTGGAGCAAGGCAGAGGGAGAGCACCAGGATGGCATCCATGGCCTGTATCCCTTGAGAACTTCGTAGGCCACTCGCTGTGTGCCAAATTTGAAGTCTGCTTCTCAGGCCAAAGCTCCAGGACAAGTAAAGAGGCCAACTTCACAGAAAGACTGGGGTGAGGGTATATTTCAGTCTGCTCTGTGTGCAGTGTTCTGCCAAGAACTGTCTCTGTGATAGCCACAGTCCTGTGGGGCCCAGGAATGCAAGCCCCCCTGGCCATCAGCCAGCCAGTCAAGGGCCGTCTCTTGGGCAGAAGCTGCAAAAAGTGAGGACTGGATATAAAAACCAGGGTACCAGACATGTGTAAAGCTCCCCTCTGGGAGACACTGGCACTCTGGAGCATGGCAATGAGAGAACTTGAAGATAGTACCCCTCTCCCAGACCTCTGGAAAATATTTACAGCCCCCAGAAGTGTGATTAATCAGAAGCCTGTCCCTCAGGCTGCAGCCATGATTTTTTTATAGGTCTCCTGCACAGACTGAACTCCTGGGTCTGTTGCCTCTTGCCATTCTCTGGGGATGGTAGCTATTTAAGAACTCTTTCTCCATTGATTATTGTCCTGTGGGACCCACTGGCATAGGCCCCACGGCTACCAGAGTCAGGCAGTGTAGAGGTGCTTGCTGGCAGCAGCCACAAAAATAGGGGCACCGGATTTTTCTGGTGACACTGATTCTTATAGTCCTATGGGACCAGGAACACAAGCTACCCTGGCCTCCAGAGCTAGGCGATCAAGAGGTGTTCTCCAGGCAGTGGCCAGCAAAATAAGGGCATCAGATGCATGTGAAAGCTCTCACCCGAGGGACAGTTATGCTCTGGAGCATGGCAAAGGGAGAGCATGAAAATAGCACTTGCCAGTCTCTGTCCCCGGAATGTCCTAGCCAGCTCCCAGATGTGCACGTCAAAGTAGATGCCTGCCCTCAGGAAGGCTGATGCTTCAATTCAAGCAGGTGAGCCTTCTTCCCTTTATGTCTGGGTGTGATATGCTGCTTCTAAGCTGGGCCCTGGGGTTGGTGAGTTTGAGCACACCAGCCTTTTAAGAGCCATTTTTCAGATCACTGCAGTTTGGGTCTTGGGACATAAGCCCCAGTGGTTATCAAAATTAGATTGTGGCTTGTCTTTCAGGTGTAGGTCTTAAAAGTTGGGGTGCCTGATGTGGGGTTCCAACCCTTCACTTCTCATCAAGAAGCTCCAGGTTGTGAGTTCTCTTCCAATTTGGGGCCCGCCAGGGGTGGGGTTTATGGTGAGTTTGTGTTCCAGCCTCTCCTGCCCTCTTCGATGTGATTTTCTTGCTTGCCTGATGTGTAGTCATCACTCAGCCAGCCTTTAGGTTTTTTTTAAGAGGAATTTTCCATATGTAGCTGTAGACTCAGTGTGTCTGTGGGAAAAGGTGAGTTCAAGATCTTCAAGATGGGGTTCGCCATCTTGAACCGGAATCTCCACCCTAAACTAAGTTTCTTGATAGTGGAATCATATGCAGGCTCTATTTTTTATTCAAAATACACAGCATAGTGCTTTCCCAGTGGTACACGTAAATAAGGATTGACTACGTGAATAATGGAATAAATATGCTCAAATATCTGTCAGTGTTGTGAGAAAGGGCATTCATTCATGCTACAGTTACTGAGTGCTTACTATGTACTGATAAGCATTTTTCTATGTCCTGGGGAGGTAGCAATCAACACAAAAAAGTCTGTGTCTTCAGAGAACTCAGAGTCTAGTGAAGAAGACAGACAAGGAACAAAATACATAATGATAAGTAGTGATAAATGCTATGAAGAGAAACCAGGGTAAGAGCACAGTAGAGCAGCTTAGGGATGCTATTTTAGATCAGGGTAGAGTGGGGAGATTTGTAGAAATCTTGAAGGCTGTGACAACTGGATTTTTATGAGTGTGATGGAAAACCTACCAAGTCTTTTCTCTGAAAACAATGTCAATAGGCCATAGGGTAATCAGTTATCTCCTTGGGTCTGTGGCAGAGACTCCTGCTTGTCCCCAGTATTCACCATCCCCCTCTTGAGTAACAGTGGCTGAAGTTTAACTAGTTACATAGACACATAAGTAAAGATGACATATTCAAGGCTCTCTTGCAGGCCATCTAAGGTTTCAACCTAAAAATATTTATACTTGCCTTATAACTGGTTTCTTTAGGTGGTTTAAACCTTTTTTTCTTTTATTTCTTGACTCATTTAGACTAATTTCCTTGCAGGCAGACAAGGGACTACATTTTCTATCCTTTTGAACATGGACAGCCAAACACTGTTCTGTAAATGGTAGGCATTCAATAAACTTTTCAGCAAATCTGAAAACCAAAATGACTCTTACGAAGGTTCAAAGTATATAAAAACAGTTCTCATTTAAAATGACATACACCAAAAGAATATGAAAATATGCATTTATTACCAACAAAGTAGCATTTCCCACAGAGTTTTTTTCCAATTACACACACACACACACACACACACACACACACACACACACACACAAAATAGCAGGACAAAATTACACTTTTTTTTTTTTCACTGCACTGCACAGCTTGCAGGATCTTACTTCCCCGACCAGGGATTGAACCCGGGCCCTTGGCAGTGAAAGCGTGGAGTCCTAATCACTGGACCACCAGGGAATTCCCTCAAATTATATTCTTTTACACACTAAAGATTCATACTCCAAAGAAAATAAGCACATGTCCAAAAGACAGTTAGAAAGCAGCAAGAAATCTTTCCTTTTACTTAATGCTAAAAACCTTTTAATTTCTCTCCTTATGCAAATCAATGAAGATTTTGTCATTAAAAATACTTGCTTGTCACCTTAGGGTTTTAAATATTTTATTCATCAAATCAGACTGTTACTTGAAGTTTTTACAATTTGTATGTAATTAAAATCAACTTTTACAGAAAATATGTGAAGCTTCAAGTGGCTGAGACTAATGCGCTAGACTTACTATTCTTCACAGGTCAACATTCAATGTAAAAACCGAATATTTGTCCACTAGAAAGAGAGAAATGCTTATAAACAAGGTATGGAATAATTATTGGCATATGTAAACTGAAAGGTAGTTGACCATTTTATTTTCAAACACACCTAATCTTCAAACTTCTTTTTCACATTGATAATCATTTTGCAGAAATAAGATGACTGGCACTAACTCAGACAATAAACAAACTACACCAAGCACATATTAGTAAAGATACTTTGGTGGAAAACGAAGTATTAAACAACAAAAACATTTGGTAACAACATCCATTTACTAATATGTTACCAAGGTTTTCAAGGTTTACATGAGCTGTTTGCACTAGAAAAAATGTTATTTTAAAATATTTTCATAGTATATGCATTAGACTTAGTTTAAGAGGGGAAGGCTCTTTTAAAAATTTTATGAAGAAAAAAATAGCTTTTTAAAGAGAAAATGTCCAAGTAAGAGGTTTGTTTTTTGACCTAACAAGAATCATTTCAGTGGCTATTTAAGAACATACAAAACCCAAACTGACTGCAATTCTTCAACTTAGTCAAGCTGCCAAGTCAAAAAAATAATTCTGTTATTACCGGCACAGATCCAGTCCATTGTTCAAAGATATGTCCTTGATCTAGTCCGTTATTTTACAATATTTAAAAGAATAGAATTTTTTTTGGCACTGTTAATTAATATAATGCAGAGATAAACAAATGATTTTCTCATCTAATTCTTTCACGTTGAAAGAACAGTTTAAACTAGATTTTCTAAGATAATGGGGTAGGATCAACACTAAGTTTTAGGACCTATATAAGCTTAGATTCTAAAAACATTATGGTTTTAAACAAATCAATACTTTTCCTCACTCTTTACATTAACACTGAGAAATTTCAAATATAAACTGTAGAAACCAGTATATGAAATCTTAAGAAAAATCTTCCTAAAAATAATTAAGAAAATGCTTTAGAAATTTAAGATGTAAAATACAACTGACTTTAAATTAAAAAAAGGAAAAAACCACCAAAACCCAAAAAACCTCACCCACATTTTACAGGGTTATTCTTTAAAAACCCTTGGCACTTGATTTTATTCTCTGTCAATCTTTTGGTTGCATTTTTTGCATCATCTAGTGGCCACCTTGTGGCATTTCAAAGAAGTCCTGCTACCATTTTTGAACCCCAATACTTTTCCCTTCTTTGAGATACCAATATAGTATCAAGTTTCATAAAACTTTTTTTAAAGGCTCATAAAATTCCATTTCCTAGTGGAGATAAGGTATCTTTTTAATAGGAAGAAATGAATAGATTTGCCATAAATTATTACTATACATTAGACTAGACATTTCCATATCAAATTTTAAAAATTAAATATAACACTGGGAAAAACTGTGGCTTAAGCTGTAGAGTCATCTTTAGACTCTAAAAGTAATTAAAACTACTTTGCAAGTAAAGCTCAGGGTTACCATGTCAATTAAACTTCTTGTAATTGATAAGCCCTTCCACTGTACCTTTGATTTGAGTAGCAAATACTTTTAAAAATGGGGACCCAATGACTTATGGTCAGAGTGCTAAGGACTCAAGAAGACTTAATTTTTACTACCAGATGATGTTCCACAGAAAGAAGTTATTATGGTCTCTTTTCATCGACCCATTTGTATCTAATAGTGGGTTTCCAAAAATAACTGATCTTTTAGTCTTAATGAATCTCCTAACTTTTATTCAGTTGAGCCACACTTATATACAGGATTTAACAGAAAAGTCCCAAAGTTCTTGCCCTTTACTTTTATTGAGAAGGCTGAGTGAATGTAATACGGCGCCGCCTCCTTTGGAAAGCCTTTAAATTCCATCTGTTTGGTTCTAGCATATGAGGACCATTGTAGACAAATAACACCGTCATCTTTTCATTATAAGGAAGATTTTGCAGGAGCTGTAAGTGTTAAAACAAACCGTCATATAATGCTTTCCGTTAAGAAGCACAACTTTCCAACCTTACATGTGTGTAGTCAAATATTTTATTTGTAATATGAATGAAACTCTTAAGTTCTCAATTCAGTACACACCCTGCCCGACTGTGATCTTCATTTGAATTAGCGCATCTGAAGCGCGGCCTAAGGAATCATCAACATGCCTTGGGAGCCCTCTATATTCATAGGCCAAATGGGATCATACAACTTCTTAGGTTGACTCTGGAAAAGTGTGTCCTCCAGAATTTTCCTAGGATACTTTCACTGTTTTATCCACAAAACACTTCTCAAGCAACTTCTGTGGTGAGGCACTGTGATAGATTCGTAGCCTGAAAAGTGTATGTAACAGGGAGGTTTGGTTTATAGGCCAACATGTTTGGTAAACAATAGGGAATTAACAGATCTAGCTACTCCACAGGGTATCTGCTGGAAAAAGAAGACAGATTATACTATTCAATAAAAAATTGAATTTAAGATAGGATTTCCAATGAAATTTTTCATTGAACACTTTAGTTAAAAAAACCTGATTACATTAATAAATACATCTTTGATTACTGTACATCAGTTTTATAATTGACTCACAAAAGAAAATTTCCCATTGTAATGGTCCTAGCTTATGGAAAATTCTCTGTGAAGATAATTCTTTTTCTTTCTCCAAAGTTAATATATGAACAGAAGATCATGGGGTACTTAGGACTGCCTCTGGGCCAAGTCAGTGGCAGTGGTGAATTAAAAAAGGGTAGAGCACAGCACCAAAACAGACCTTTCTGGAGAAATGAGAAGGACCAGCGTTCTAGGGTTTATATTCTCCTGTCATTTTTTAGTGCTAAAAGAGGAACTTCTTTAGAGGAAGAATAAGTGCCAAAAGCATGGAGGAAATCTCAGTTCTAGACCATAATACTATGCCTCCTATGTTTCTTCCTCTGACAACATCTAACAAGGTTTCTGATTAAGTATGTCACTGGAACTTGTCCCCTTTAATAATATAAATATTACTATAATCTTTTTAGTTCTATTTTGGGAGTGTTCCTGCTCATATTTACATACTGGGCCAAAATCTGCTATATGTTTTAGCCACGAGGGACTTCTGAGTATGAGTATTTTTAGGTTACTTATTACCTACCTTTGGTGTAATAAAGAAATACTGAGATGTGTTTTCTTTACAAGCAGTATTTACAACCATTTCAAACACTCTCCGTTCATTGATTGGGTCCATTCCCTAAACAATGACAATAATAATGATTAGATTTAAATCTATTACAAGATACAGTGAAACCCAATAAAAGAATAAGCTATACCTGATTGATTTCATCAACTACTCTGAATGGACATCTATTAAGCTCCTGAAGTGCCATCAAGTATAACATGGTAGAAACGCTTCTTTCACCTCCACTTTGATGATGAGGAGTTAATTCATGTAGTTGAGTGCTACTGCGAAATTTGACTCTGATTCGAATTCCATATTTATCATAGTCTTCCTATAAAACATTTAAAAAGTTGATGAAAGGTGGGAGTTTTCTCTGGTAATTCCATACATTTTTTTGAAAATAGACTGAATCAATCAATTATAAGAGTAAAGAACTTAAAACCTCATGATATTAGTTTTATCTAAATAGATCCTTGGAGACCTCTAGAGCTTGCAGAGAGTAAGTGGTTCTAATATTTTACTGTTTCAGTTTATTTATAAAATACGGTTTTAAACCATTCTGCTTTATAGAATGGTTCTGAGGATTAAACAAGATAAACCTAGAAGTGCTTGGCACAGTGTCTGGTACATAGAAAGTATATTATAAATTATATGTTATAACACATCCCTTCCTTCTAACAAGCCCACACTATGTAGATGACAATTCTCATGGCAGGTCTAATATCTTACTAAAACTTAAAGTGAAATGATGTTTGCTATCCTTATGTCTCACACTAAGCAGATAAAGGAGTCATGGGGCAAAGTTCCTAAGGGGAAATAAAGGTGCTACCTTGCTTTATAAGGGAAAAATTTCAACATTTACAAAATTAGAACCCTAAAATAAGCTTAATGTATCTACCATCAACTAGTCTCAACTATGATCAATACATGACCAATCTTGTTTCATCTATAACTCCACCCACTCCTCTTTCCCAATTATTTTGAAGCACATCCTAGTTCATCTCTTTACACATTTCTTTTTTATATGTATATTTTTTTGATGTGGACCATTTTTGAAGTCTTTATTGAGTCTGTTACAATATTGCTTCTATTCTATGTTTTGGCTTTTTGGCTGAGAGGCATGTGGGATCTTAGCTCCCCGACCCAGGGCCTGAACCCACACCCCCTATACTGTAAGGCAAAGTCTTAACCACTGGACCACCAGGGAAGTCCCTCTTTACACACTTCTTTTTTTTTTCAAATTAATTAATTAATTTATGGCTGTGTTGGGCCTTCATCTCTGTGCGAGGGCCTTCTCTAGTTGTGGCAAGCTGGGGCCACTCTTCATCGCGGTGCACAGGCCTCTCGCTATCGCGACCTCTCTTGTTGCGGTGCACAGGCTCCAGATGCGCAGGCTCAGCAGTTGTGGCACACAGGCTCAGCCGCTCCGCGGCATGTGGGATCCTCCCAGACCGGGGCTCGAACCCGTGTCCCCTGCATCGGCAGGCAGACCCTCAACCACAGCGCCACCAGGGAAGCCCCTACACATTTCTTAATGGAAATCTTATTTTATCCACAACTGCAATGCATGAACGTAGCTCAAGAAATTAGTACCAAATTTCTAAATATTTTTATTCTTGTGAACTCAAATTTTTGATCAAAAGGAAACCACTGATACTATACTATGTTTCAGTTATGTTTACCAATTTGTTTATGACTCTTCAAATGAGTAGTAAATTCAAAAAGCAATGCATTTGCTTACCACACCTGAGTAACCATTACTTAGACTGGATATGAAAAGACTTTGTAAGGTATTAGTCACTAATCTCCAACGTCACCAAAAAAAAAAAAAAATGAGCCTGATGGAATCCCATATATGGTCTTTTCCTTCCTTAGGACAATTTTTTTGTAAGCAAAATTTTCACAGATATAACTTTAGAGTAAATAAACAATTTACATGTACTTTTAGCATATAATTAAAATTACTTGCCAGGAAACATTTCAAATGCAATTTTACCTCATTTTCTGTATGGAGATCAATTTCACCAGCACACTGCATGGAACTAAAAAAATTGCTAAATTTTTCATTAATTTTTTCTACCAGCTCTTTTAAAGGATTCAGCCACCTTTCTTTTACCTGCAAGTAAAGGCAATATAAAAACACAATTTAAAAAGTGTCCTTGCATTGATACAAAACTTTATATAAAACAAATTTAATATCAATATCAATCTGGTCATGAGAACATACGCTTCTAAGAAAAAATGCAATGTATCATTTCATTTTGCATTATCCTACATTCCCATATGATAATGGTAAGCACATGAGAAAAAGAAAACGGTTGAATAATTACCTGTGAAATGTTTTCCCTATATTTATCCAGTTCAACATTCTTTATCTTTAGTTCCTCAGTTAATTGCTCTATTTCTTCTTCTCTTTTTGTGTACTCCTCAACAACCTGGCAGAAAAAAAATCTTTAAGATTAATCTACCAAAGGATAAAATTATAGAAAATTTTGCATCAATTAAAACATTAACTGAAAATGCCACTTTTGTTGCATTGTTTGTATGCAGTTAATTTATGTTCTTGTAACATACTGAAAATGCCATTTTTTATCCTTGAAAAAATAGACATTGCAGTATTTCAGGTTAGCCCAAGTATTCTTTTTATAAAGAAAAGGCACAGAACACTGTGTTCCTTAGGAAGAATCTATTTAAAATTCTAATAGATTCAGAATCTGGCATTTAAAAGCACATTGTTCCTGCTGTCTAGCTTATTATTACCAAGAGCTCCAGTACAGAGTGGGAGGCAAGTACTGGAGGGAAGCGTGTGTGTGTGTGTGTGTGTGTGTGTGTGTGTGTGTGTGTGTGTGTG